ATTTTCAGTTTTTAAGATCGCTGGGGCATTTTTAAATACCTTGACAGGGTGACCTTGGCTACATCGAATAAACCAGACTAGCTGTAAAATTTAGGCACAATGCATAGGTTTGTTTTCAAGTAAGCGATAAATTATCAATTGCTGCACAGTGTTGGAATCTTAGGCACAAATTTAATTTTGGCAATGCCAAAATTATTTCTACCTCATCTTGATGCCCTAAAATCTTGTTTCATATGAATGCTAATTCCTTTGTTGGGTTGGTTGGTTCTAATGCTACTTGCCACATGGGCAAGCCTGCTTGGTGAAATCGAGCAAATTAAGGCAGAGCGTGCGTTTCTTGATTTTCAGTGGCGCTATCTATGGCCAAGAATTCGACATCTGCCACACCATACGTCGCACCCGTTTATAGGGCGGACCCATTCATACATCCATTCATTCATCCACAGATCGTAATTTTGACTAGAATCGGAGAACGATCGATCTCCAATCAAGTACCCCCCGAGGCATGGAGGACTTTTGCGACTCAACAAATTTAACGTGCATCAGTCACTTTGCTACACGGGGAGTCTTCGGCCGCGGGGTTCGAACCTATGAACTCTCAGACATGGGCCCAGCGCCCTACAGACCAGGCTATCCCGACTAATTCCTTTGTTAAGTACATTAGTTCCTCATCACCTCTCCATAGAGCGTGGAAATGTAAACTCATGTTTGTGAAAATTGCTACACCATGAAGGACCTATGCGAGGGAGCTGAAATTTTCAGGAAATGCAAAGCAGAGCATGTTATGCAAATGATTAGAATTTGAGATCCGTAGCGCATGCGTATGCTGAGCAGCGCCCTCTGAACGGCTGATCGATCTGTATAAATTGACGGCTGTAGCAAGGCGTGTATGGTTATCGGTGGTTATCTGCTTGTGGTAAATGTTAGCTTAGACGTTACTTATGCCTCTTCGACGAAAGAGAGCGAGATTTCAACAACTTACGGAGTTTGAACGAGGGAGAATCATCGGCCTTCGTGAAGCTGGATTGTCTTATCGTGCAGTAGCAGCTCCTGTGCAGCGTAACAGTAGCACAGGATGTGTGTTTGGAAGCAGTGGACGGACGAGTGTCAGACAACTTGGAAATCCGGGAGTGGACCCCGAAATGTCACGTCAGCTCGCGATGATAGACACCTGGTCCGCGCGGNGGATTTTCTTATCGTGCAGTAGCCGCTTCTGTGCAGCGTAACAGCAGCACAGGATGTGTGTTGAAGCAGTGGACGGACGAGTGTCAGACAACTTGGAAATCCGGGAGTGGACCCCGAAATGTCACGTCAGCTCGCGATGATAGACACCTGGTCCGTACGGTACTGATTGACCGTACGGCTCCCTCTAGCCAACTGGCAGCACAGTGGTCAATAGCTACAGGTGTTTCAATGTGTGTTTCATCAAATCGTAGACGTCTGCTGCAGCGTGGACTGCGCGCAAGGACTCCTTTATACAGGATCCCCCTCACGCTAAACCTTCGCCACCAGCGGCTGCAATGGGCCAACCAGCATAGGGACTGGCATGCAGATTGGCAGCGTGTCGTGTTTTCTGACGAATCGCGCTTCAATTTGTGGTACCATGATGGCCGCATTCGTGTCAGACGCTATGCCGGTGAACGCCATCTTCCGGAGTACGTTATCGAACGCCACAGTGGACTAACACCCGGAGTTATGGTGTTTGGTGCTATAGCATATCATGGACGATCTCAATTGTTATGAATTGTTGGTAATCTGAACAGCAACCGGTACATCAGTGAAGTTCTACAGCCCCAAGCTGTTCCCTTCCTTCAAGCCTTGCCAGGTGCTGTATTTCAACAGGACAATGCCCGAACTCATATTACTAGGACTGTTCAATCCTTCCTTGCATCGCGACAGGTACAACTTCTTCCTTGGCCGGCGTATTCCCCGGATTTGTCGCCGATTGAACATGTGTGGGATTTCGTTGGTCGGCGTCTCGCTCGTAATCCTCGTCCTGTTGCTTCTACAGACGAACTTTGGGTACGCATACAAACAGAATGGAATTCTCTTCCTCAGACACACATTCAAAGTTTGCTCGACTCCATGCCACGTCGCGTGGCAGCACTTATTGCGGAGCGTGGTGGCTACACAAAATACTGATTTCGATTTCTTGTTATTGTTTGTTTGCTTTGAAAGCTTAATCATTTATTTGTACCACTACCACTCAACTGTGTATTAAATTTCATTCAATTATGACGATTTCTTCATGGTGTTGCAATTTTCACAAACAGGAGTTTATTTTAACCTCCCTCTTGGCGACAATGGGTTTTCTCATCCTCATTTTTGTTTCACTCTCGGCTACTATGGTTTTTTTAAGCTTTGTCCTCTCATTTATTTTCTATTTTTCGTTAGCAATTTTACGTTTTAGAATTCAAATCATTTTTGTTATTTTCTCATTCCCGTTTAGCAAGTCTTGAGAATGGGCACTTATGAATTGAAAATGGGCATTTATGAATTGAAAATGGGCATTTATGAATTGAAAATGGGCATTTATGAATTGAAAATGGGCACTTATGAATTGAAAATGGGCACTTATGAATTGAAAATGGGCACTTATGAATTGAGAATGGGCACTTATGAATTGAGAATGGGCACTTATCAATGAAAATTTTTTTTAATCAAGTGCTAACATAAATAAATGAGACAAAAACGCATATTACAAATTTATCACTTTTATTTTTCATCCATGTTTCTTTCTGGCTCTACAATCATAATTCAAAATCACAAAACATTTCACTTTAATTTTGTTTATCTTTTATGGAGCTTAGGAATACATTTGTGGGTTTCGGAATATAACAAAGCACACAACTTAATCACTTGTGCATAAATATCACGGGAATGCTTTGAAACATGGAAACATACCAAGGTGGACAAAGATGTAATATATAGAAATATTTATATAAGAATTCTCGAAACCCCGCATCCCATATTGAACAATTATCTTTAAATGGGATGCTTTCAACTCTATTCAGGAAATTTTTATTTCTTTTTATATTGCACATTTAACATACGTACATAGAAGCAAGCAAGCTGGATATAGCAAAAACAGCAGTTCATTGTTAACTAACATGAAATGTATACATATTTTGTAATAAATACTTACTTCTTCTCGTCGTCCAAAACATTTTTCACTCGGTTATTATATCAAAACATGTAAAAAAATGAGTTCATTAGTTTCACTGTCACGATTTCGAAAAACTAGTATTTGAAAGTTTTGGCTTGAAATTTTCCTATTTCTCACTCATTTGTGCCAGATGAACTTTTCAGCAAATGTTAAAGACAAACAATACCTAAGCAATATAAATATAGCAACATGGAGTCTAAAAGATATATACATCCATAGACATGATTTCTTTTCATATATATATATTTATTTATAATATATATTATTAACTTATTGTTAGATAAAACCATCTACTTGTGGCAGCTTATAGTTTTCATATACTATAAAACTTTAAAAATGAGAAGAAAAAAAATATTATCAACAATAAGATTAATTTTTATGCAGTTAGTTTCACTGCAAGTTTCTAGCTCGGAAACCAACGTTTTAACTTTCTCTGATTCAAATATTTTCCCCATTGATTTGATTTTTAGACATTGTATACAACATAGGTCATCTAGGAATAATGGAGACAAGGACAAGTATTTAACATTCGCACGTTACATAATGATCAAACGCACGTACAACTACGAACGTTTTATCTGGCATACGGACTACAAATACACAAACACACGTTCGCACAAAACTATAACGAGATTCATTTAGACTATGTGTACAAATCTTTCGGGTGCTACGTAGCGAAACAACCTACATGTCGCGTGGCTGACTACAATCAGTTCTACACTATCAAAGCTTCTACAAACTACTACGTTTGGTTATGAAATATCGCGTTTGAGTGGCGCACTTTTTCTAATTTTTTCGTTTGCATTAAATACAGAACTATCTATCTTACACACACACATCAGCATTGTTTAGTTTGGTTTATACATTGTGCATACATGGGATTCTTTTCCGGGCAAAAATGCTTTTTGAAGTATGTACTAGTCAAGGAAATTTTTCTTTATAGTTTTGAATCATTTAAAAAATTATATTTTTTAAAAATTTTTTAGAATTGATTATCAAATTTACTTAAATATAGGGGAGAGTGGGGTCGATTGTAACTGGGTACGATTGTAACAGAGGAAAATTTCAAGTGTCGGGTTCTAGATTTGGCTCCTAGGTGGCGCACAAGGTGTATTTAATAAATCTACATGTACATCCCTGCTGGCAGCCATTTTTATGTACTTTTGAAAGAGTTACATCACAAAAGATATTTTCACGCTACGTAAGTACTTTTTTTGGTATTAGAATATTATATTGTAACAAAGTAATTTTGTTTAAACATATACACATTATTAACCGAATATGTAAGTGAACACCTTGATTGACTTTTCAAAAAAAAAAAGATTAGTTTTGTTAATTAACTTGCATTGTTTTTAACAAATGAAGCTGAAATGGCGTCTTGGGGACGATTGTAGCAATAAGTAAAGGGACGATTGTAACAGCTGAAAATAAATAGTCATATGTTTACAAACCATTACTTAACTCTTTAAGAACCACCAATAGTTTCCTATATCATTTATATGATGTTACATGTGCATTATTTAATTTGTCACCTTTCACAGCATAAATTAAAACTTTTAACCCCTTAAAGTTAAAAGTTTAACCCTTTAGGTCTCTGCTCATTATTATTTTTACTCCTAAAATATCACTACTATTTTGATCAATAAAAAAATATATCACAACTATGAAAATATGTATAATTTACTATGTTTTAGTTGAATTTATGAACAGTTACAATTGACCCCGTAAGTGGGGACAATTGTAACAAGTGCACGACTGTCAAAAATTGTTAATAACTAATATAATAACATTTTTAAAATAAGGTATTTATTTTTTTTCCTAGTAGAGGATAGTCTACTTTACTCGTCTGTCAATTAATACTAATAATATATTGGATTTTTGGTTAGTTAAAAATAGTTAAGTAAAAAATGTTACAATTGACCCCACTCTCCCCTACTCCAAAAATTACGTTTCACTTAAAGATTATGGAATAAAATGTTAAATGTTTGAATCATTATCTAAAATGTTAACACTTGTTGTATTAATAATCATTCAAATTAATCATTTAGATTTTTATTCTATAAAATGAAAAATAATGAACACTATTAATAAAAGCCGCGTGAATTTTAGGAGCTAGATAATTTAGTTATTTGAACTACCTTCATTAAAGTATTTGAGAAACGCAACTTCGCCCCGTAGTTTCTTAAATTTTGAGAAATTTTGAGAAACTTCTGCTGCCGCCCGATTCTGTTACAGGCAGACTCAGTTTTATGTTTCCTAATGAAAATTAAAATAACTTTTGTAACAGAAATTATGAAAACGCGTTTTTGTATTAAAGTTGATTCGCATGATATTAATAAAACAGATATACATTTTTGTTTTCAGAGTTTGAAAAAGTCGCACGCATCAATTTTCTGAATAGTAGCTTTTGTTGGTTTGCTTATAATTTTGTTTAACTTTGACCAGTACAAGAACTATCTACAGTATGCACTGTACAAGACTGTGTTTGTTTTTTGTACATTGTGCTTGCCCATCGGTGTAACAAAGTAATGTCTTTCTTCTATGTTATGCGAACAAAATACACATTTTTAAAGATAGTATGAAAATATGCTCTCTTGAAAAGGACCACCCTAACTTTGAGAAAATAAAAAGGTTTTTAACAAAAAGTTTTTTTGCTTTAGTCCCTTATATTATTTCTCCAAAAATACTTATTTATTTAAGAGAGGAGCATAAAAAGTTAAGAGAGCGGTTTAATATTAAAGCAAGCGAGTAATAACCAGAACAACCATACAGCTTTATTTAATTCGGACGGCCAGTGGTTTGCAAAATACAGTGCTTATTTTACAAATATCGGTAGTATGTGATAAATCACTGTATTATTAATAATAAAAAGAATTTAATCAAGCTCCGTATATATAAATGCCTTCTTTTAATTCAACCTAAATTTTCACCTATAAATTAATTTTTACATATTTGTTTCAGTGGTGATTGAAAAAAAAAAAACTCTTTCTTACTTAGATTTTGTTTTTCATTGGAAGCATACTTTTTAGTTTAATAAAGGAAGAATATCAAAATATTTTTACAAAAACATACTTTTCACAAATAGAAAAAGCGCCATCTATCGGTGACGATGTTAACTACAATCTGTATGAATTTTTCGCCATGTCAAAATTAAATGATCCCCGCAGAAAGGGTTAAAGATAAATGATTGGTTTGGCTATAACGGCTCACTGAAAATGATTTGATTTGTTTTACTTGAATATTGGATATCTATTTTTTCATGTCCTGACTTTGTTAGAGATTGTCGCTTACCTGGTATTTACTTTGAGGGTTCGTTCTGATGTCCTCTTCTTTCAAGCTGTCAAGCCACAAATAAACTCTTTGCTCTGACATGAATGCAGTATTCATGAAACAAAGAGCAAGACATGTAGAATATTTGCTGACAAATATAAGCAAAACAACAATGTGAAAACGTAGCTATATATCACAAGGGATAACATTGGTGTTTAAAAAAATCCTCTCACAGATACTATGACGAGACAACATGTTGGCACGTTGGAAAAAATACATCACAAAAATAATCGCATAAAATTTTCAAGAAACACCGTTTTGTTAACCACTGGCAATAACCAACGTCTATTAAAGGACGTAACGATTTTTATCCCCTAAATGCTTTTTTTGATGAAGCCCGTAGAAAAATTGCTACTGAAATAGCGCTAATGTTTGTACTCCATAAATTGAGTTAGACGGGAAGAATGACTCAATTTTTGGAATATGTTAGAAAAATGAAACAGCCAAAACAGGGAAAAATAAAATTCAAAATTCCTCCTAAACATACTCACAAACATTCGGTGTTTCTATCTCAACTATTAACAACTAATCATTCTATATTTTATGTGAATAAATAAAACAGTGCTTCATAGAACAGCACCTGTGGAACCAGGGTAATATATTTTCAGCAATTTGTTGCCGCTCACAGCGCCACCTGGGGAAAATAATGAAAATAACTGGTTGTTAATTCTTGGCTAAAGAATAATTTAGTTGATTTGTCTTTTTCACTTTCACGTGATGACATTTAAAATCTAAGTTTCCTTCTTCTGCAAAACAACAAACACAATAATCGAACGGGGCAGTGCAGGTGGTGACTGTGTCGCATTGGGCCTCCTGTGCCTAAGTCACCCAAGTCCCCCCACCGGGAACACTTCCTCTCACACAAAACATTTATATAATAGTTCCCTTTGAGGGTAGATGATAGACTTATTAAAATGTCTCTCAGTGGAAAATTATTCAACAAAATTCATCTCACTTTTATCTATAACACCTTATAATGAAAATATCACCTTTATTAAATTTCGAACAACGGGCAGATTAAAACATTTCTTTATAAATGTTACAAATTTTTCACTGAGACACTGAAAATATCGAATAGTTGTATTTTAAATACAATTTTGCACCTTTGCACAAACAAAGCATGCCAATTATTGGAGCATTGGTATTCAATTAGATAAAATTCATTATGAAAAATATGATGCTTCATATCTATAAAGACTTCTTTAAATAAGAAAGAAAAGATACCCCAAAATGATGAAAAAAAAAAACATTCCGTAAAAGAAATCTCAGCTTAACAGTATTTTACGATGCATATCATGGTGGTTGTATTCTCGAAGGTTCTATTTATGAATAACAAGCCTTCATCTTTCAGACTATTTCTTCTTTAAAAAAGTTCCACTCCATAAACTCTTTTAAAAACAAAAACAGCGTCTGCGGTGGAGGGCTCTTGGCTTCATTTAGTACAAGGGGGGGGGAAGGGTGACTATAAGGGACATCACAAACATAACAGTACATGTTGGAATACTACTGAGCCTGATATTGTTGCATGGGATAGGCACCAATCATTCCAGGCTGCTGTAATCCTTGCGCGAGGGGACTCTGAGCAGCTGCAGCGGCTGCTGCGGCTGCAGCTATTTGAGGTTGACCAGGAATGCCTTGCCAAGCCATCTGCATACCACTCATGCTGAAACAGAAAATAAACTTAATAAGTATTAAAGGCAGTTGAAAATAAGGTACACTTATTGGAAATTTCCAGTTTAATAAAATATCAAAATCTTATCTTTCTACAAGGCTTGATTTTTATGTTTATTTGTAATAGAAAAATTTTAAATAGTTTCTTTACAATGTAATGCAACGCGTAACTATTTTAACGCTTAAAGACTCTTAATTACTTTTAACTGAGGACTTTAAACTTCAGTTAGAATTTTAGGTATTTTAATGAAGTGGGTCCAAGAAAGGTTTCTATAATAAAAATGTAATAGTGTGAGTTTACAAAAAAGTAGCTCGTAAATCACTTTTACAATCAAAAAGGGTTATAAAAATTTTTAAAGCAAGAAGTTAATAAAAAATTAAAATAAAATTTTTTTTCGGAAGATAAAAAGATACAGAAATTAGTCTTACCATAGTTTTTAAACTATAATATTTTGCAAAATATTTTAACTGTTTTAGTGAACTGTTTTAGCCTAGTTTTATCGAATATAAATAAATTCCATTTCAACTGAAACAATTTTCGTAAAAACTGTTACACAGAAAATGATTAATCTAAACCTGATTCAAACAAAAATTCAGTTCTAGTTGTAACTTCTTAATTTTCTCATTCTAATAGATCAGTTAAAACTAAGGAAGAAAAATAAAAATAGTTTTGATATCGAACTTCAATATCGAGAGCTTTAAATAAGAAATAGTATTAGTAAAGGAAAATTTTAATAATTATGACAGCAATTAGTTAACTGTTGAGTATATACGCTAAGAAAAAGCCCACAATTTTTACTATAATTTTTCAATGTAATTTACAAAAAAAAAAAAAAAACATATGCCCGAATTTTTTCATTTTAAAAATTGCACTAATGTATAAATTTTTAATTAAGCAACTTTTTTAAGTATTAATTACAAATTAAAAAAAACGGTTTTTTATTGTTCAATAACTCCTACATTAAAAAGGGAATGCTTCCAATAAAATTTTAATATTAAAGCCGGCTTGTTTACAGACGGTATAATTAATGTAGAATACATTCTTAATAATGCCAATTATTTTTCATAAAGACAAGGATCGAAGCCATAAAATGCGGAAGATAAGTTGTTAATTATCCTAACTCGGCACTATTTCAAAGAAATAAAATGAATCTTTCGAAATGAGAAAAATTTTCTTTAAAACTTAGCAGTCTTAATTAAGCGCTTTCATCTGCTAGTTTAAATGAAACCGCAGCAACTTTTCTAAATTCATTTCAACGTTGATACCTAATTTATTCATCTTTTAATTAAAAGCTTTGTTTTTTGTCAAGTATCTTTTTGTCAGAAAAAACTGCGGAGTTTTTTTTATGCAGTTTTTGTTGATTAAGGTGTACGTAGTTCTTTTATGCGATTGGGATTATTTTTTTTTCTTTTCAAAATGGGTGTTTTTTCAGTGATGTTAGCGGCTGGAAATAATGATGAAAAATGTTATTTTTATTAACACTTATTATTTAAGCTCAAAAAATAGATGTTACATTAAATGTTTGATTGAGTAAAATCATTTTTCACTTTAGTAATTTTGTGAAAATGAATCAACAATTTGTGAAGTGATCGACATTGATTATTTGAACTTAGTATAGGTATCATACAGAAGTTTTGGATTAATATTTGATTTCACTTAAGGTGAATAAATAAACCTAAAACCAATTGGGATTTTGGCGTTGAAAAGAGGATTAGTTTATGAATAAATACAAATATGATTAAATACAAATATGAGTAAATTGGAATTAACCTTTGTATGGCTAATTCAAAACTACGTTTTAGATACATATTGGTATTCATCTATACTTTTTTCTAAGTTAAGGAATTTAAACATATTGGTATTCATCTATACTTTTTTCTAAGTTAAGGAAATTAAACATATTGGTATTCATCTATACCTTTTTCTAAGTTAAGGAATTTAAACTATTACCAAAATAAAAGAAAAATACTTTTAATGCATAAACTGGACTAGTGTTAATTACATTAGGTTTTATTTGCTAAATTAATTTCAGTTGTTGGTGAAAAACACTTTTAAGTCATTTAACTGGTTTAAGTTGTAACAACACAACAGATGAAAAAAAAAACCCTCAAATCTTCGAACTGTTATAAATATTTAGTGCTATTTGAACAATTTAACTTTCGCTTAAAATATTGTTATTAGAATGAATATTTTTGCATTTTTTAAATACTATTGCATTTGTCGGCAAAATAGTTCTTGAGAAATCGAACTTTAAGAAAAGTAATATATTTAACATTCGATTTCTCAGGAACTATTCGATCGATTTCGCTCAAATTTTGCATGTTGCCATGTAAAATTACATTTAAAAAATTATTTTTATTACATTGTAAAATTACATTTAAAATAGTGAAAAATAATGAATATTTATTAAAAATTATTTTTTTGCATGGAATCTTTGCATTATCTTTGGATAAACGATTTTCATAATTGAGTGCAAACATTTTTCAATTCGCTTATAAAGTTATCGAGATTAGGTAAAATATGACTAAAATAAAACTAACATTAAGGGGTTCAAACTTTGAACCGTTCTCCTGACCAAATCATTGGGACTATATTTTCCAGATTGCGGTGACCCCCTATATTTTGGGGGTCAGAAATCCAAATCCGTCGAAAAAACTGTATGTTTCGTCATAGGAAAAACTTTTTTTTAAATCTGATTTCTTAACTTAATATATCATCTGCACTATTTAATTAATTGAGATCACCCCCTCGAATCATTAAAATTGACTCCGAGAACATGAAGATTCGATCATTGGATAGAAAGTTATTCAGGGTGGACTTTTTATTTATTTGTGCTCTGTATAATGAAAAAGAGAATAAATGTTATTGTGGCAGCAAAGTATTAATTAAAAAACAAACAGAATACATATTAAAAATTTCAAGATCTCTTGCAGGTCTATTTAAGGTGTTATAAATTTAACGTAAAGAAATTATTTTAGCAGAAAACTAAATACGTAGGGAACCGATTATCCGGATCGATCGGGACCATCGCTATTCCGGATAACTGATTTTTCCGGTTTTCTGAATCTCTACAAAAAGCCGTTTTTTTATTGTTAAACCCAACTAAAAAAAAAAAAAATATTTGGAAATAATCTTAAAAAGAAGAAAAAACGATGAAGTAATACACTAATGATTATTTCCAAAATGATGGTAAGGTAAACATCTTTCAAAAAAGAAAGAAAAATCTTGAAATCTTATGAGAAAAGAAACATTTTTTTTTTAAAAAATGGCGGGAAAATTCATCGAATTTCGTTCCGGTTTTTTGGTTTTCCGGTTTTCTGATTTCCGGATAACGGGTTCTGTACTGTAATATTCAAAATATTCGAGGAATCATTTATATCACTTACCCAAATCCTTGCCCGTAGTACTGTCCGTAAGGGTACTGCATTCCTTGAATGAACTGCCCTTGTACTTGGGGAAATCCTTGTGGGTACCAATAGCTCATTTGTTGGTAGGGGAAGGTGTACTGAGCAGCTAAGTTCTAAAGTAGTTAAAAAAATATTAATTAAAAATTGATATGCACTTCCACTGAAAAAAAATGTAATTTTGATAACAATTTTTAAGAAATAATGCTGAATGCCCTAATACCATTTTTACTAAATTTTATGTAAAATGACCTCGTAAATCCCAATAAGATTTCTCCCATCTTATTTTATCATTTTGCAATGAACTTGATTTGGAACAGTCTTCTAAGAGAGTTTTAAAACATAATGAATTGTAATAAGAAGGTAAATTTTAATCTGCAAAGAAAAAACATTAAAAATGGGTATTTATTTATGTCATGTTTAAAATATTCAAATTTTTATTTTTACTTCCTCAAACACCTCTAAGCAATATAAACATTTAGCTAGAATTATTGTCAAAAGAGATCCCCACATATGTTGAATCACCCAAATTCCCAAGCAAAATCTTTGGAACCTCTCCATGGAGAAAAATAATTATTTTAACTGTTCAATTTCTTCTGAGGGGCTCACACATAAACAAAGGAAGTATTGAGATTTGGTCCCCCCCCCTTAAGAAACTTTCATAAAGAGTGTTTTCTTTTCTTTCTTTCTTTGAAGGTGTTTTTATTTCTTTTTCATATATTCCAGATTTCCTCACTAAGCATTCTCAAATAAGATATTGTCATATATAGAAGATATTGTCATATATAGAAGATATTGTCATATTTTTTGCTAAAAGTGGGTGGAAGGGAATCTCCTAATTAACTGTAATATGTAGACTTCTCTGTTCAGAAATTTTTTCCTCATTTGTAAGTGTCGAATGGAAGAAAAAGGGAATAGAATGGAAATCAGAAACAACAGAAAAATCACCATTTTGATAATTCTTTTTTACAGTATAAGGGGGCAAATCCTTTAAAACCTTGCTGATTACAAATACTCTCCCTTGGAGATTCCGATCCCCCCCTCTCCATAAAGTTTACGAGACAAGCTCTTTCTGATCAATTGCTCGCTTTAAGACAAAAGTTTGAGAAAATAATTTTTATTAGTAAGGGAGTTTTGGGAGAAAAGGAGGCAGAGAGCTGGAATATGTAAAAAAAAAAAAAGACTAATGATAATTTTAACTTTTCCTTTTTAAAATTAAAAAGGAAAATACTCCCAAGATCTTTTTACAACTGCTTAATGTTATCTTTCTTTATCCAAATTAAAATTGATAAATGTAGGAACTTTTCCTGAGTGATAGAGGAAATTTGACAAACGCAGGGTTGGTGCTTTATTCATGCACTGTATGATAATTTTTCCAGTTTTTCTCTTATAAAATGACTAGATGCAAATGGGTAAAAGTCAATTTGCACAAATGGAGTTCGTATTTTAGGAAACAATGAGATTACTTTTAAAATTTATTTTATATTTTTTTACAGACGTAACATAAATTTTGATGCATATAATGTGCTGAGACTTGAAAAAACAAACAATGTATATGTTACAAATTACACATCAGTTAATATACCAAATTTTAATTATTTTATTGAACTATTTTCTTTTATAAAAAATCTAGATTGTTATTTCACAGGTGTGATATTTTAATATTTATCAATTAATATATGAGTATTATTCTAAACATTTGAATAGTATGTTTCAAATTGTGATAATTTAAAAGAAGTTCAAACATTCAGTACAAATTTTACATTGAGTTTCCAAAGCTTACGTGCGTATGACACTAAATACTATCATATTTTATATTGACTATCAAAGATAACGTGATGTACAATGTGAATAACTGGTGTGTCTATTATATTTTATACTAACTCTCAAAGGCAACGTATGCGAATGAAACACACTGTGATCTTCATGGTATCATTTGATAATAGTTGTTCAGTAACAATTATAAATATTACAATATGAAATTAATTACATCTACACTGTTATTTTTCTGTTAAAATGGTTAAATAACAATCTATTTATTTGTTATTTTACCATATTAAAAAAATAGTCAAGTAAATATAAATATCATGGTATTCAAACTATTAGCCGTAAGAAAAATAGTTTATTAACTGATTTCATCTAATACGATTAAACAACCAGAATTTTATAGCCCCACCTAATGAAGCTACTTAGTTCCTTGCAGTTGGGTGCATATTATAGCCAAGATGTCTAATCTATCAATCTCATGATAGATAAAACAGGTGTTCGAGCCCCAGTGTCACTACTACTAAATTTCCTCCATTCCCTTTAAGAATGAAGAGTTTCTAGTGTTCTGAACTCCCCAATTAATAACTCTGGTTTATTAGAGTACGATACTCTCATTTAACCATAGATGGCAGCACTATAAAGCTGCTAAACTATACCAAGTCCAGTTAAATTTCTGGTTTTGAAACCATGCTAGTTGTAAATGGTTTCGAAAAAATGTTTTTTATTGTAAACTTTACTTTTATTTGGATGTACAGACTGTTGGCGGTTACTTTACAATAATTTTAGAATGAAGATTCTAAAAGTGTACGTTAAAAAAATACAAAGTTTTATTACCAGTTAATATACCTAGAACTGAAAAAAACTATATCTTTAATATAATTGATAACAGTAATCATGCTTAATGCACTTGAATACACTTTAGCATGTTTGATAACATTTAATATGGGTAATAAATATAATATACACAAAGTCAACACATTTGATGAATCTTTTATGTATAACTATAAAAGTGATAAAAAAAAGAGAAATGCGGGTTGGAGTTTGCCTTTTTCAGTATGATATGCTAATTAATTAGCCTGTTATAAGATACAAAAATTATACCTTTTTTTAACTGATTTTGAGAGAGTTTAAAAAGGTAGTAAGGGGAAATATATTTTCACGTTTATGAAATATTACAATAATTATATATTTTATTTATTTTAAACAATTTTCATAAATTTTTTTTGCGCAAATACAATTTTCTGCAACAAAAAAAAGTACAGTTATATGCTCTTTCGAGGTTTCACACTAATAAATAGCTAAAAATTAAATGTATTTCAAACTGCTTCATAATTTCAGGAAATGGTTTTCCTTTCACGATGGATCTTCTAATAATTATTAGTTCCAAGTTGAAAGATACCTTTCTTCCTTTTATGACACTTTATTTTGGGGTATGTTTCAAATATTTTATTACTAATGAATATTAAGCATATCTAAGCAAATAATATAGCCATCTTAGTAAAAGGCACGAAATTTATTTACCAAAAACTTATGTTTATTCCTTGCGATTTCATTCCTCTCTTGTTGACTTAGACATGAAATTTGTTCTCTTTCTTTAATGCAGAATACTCAAGAGCGTCATAACTTGAGACACAATCCAAATTTTTGAAAAATGCTGAAAACGGATGTTTTTGTAGCAGATATGATAGACTTTAAGGACACTAAACAAAGAAATTTGTTTTGTACGAGTATTATCAGTTTAATAAAATCGCATATAGGACGTTATCTTCCTTGTAACCAATCGGTACTATGGTACTCTTTTTATTCAGTTTTCCCAAATAAACTGATAGTAAATATTTACTCTACTTGGCAGTACGTAAAGCAATGTCCGTCATTCTATCACAATATAAGATTTAAGACGTGCGCTATTTTGTGTTTTCTTAATTATTTTTATCTGATAGAATTATACCAATACAATTCTGTCATTTTTTAAAAGGTAGTTTAGCACTATATATTTGTCTGTTTTTGGATATTTGATAAAAGTCTTCGGTTTCCTGTAATTTTCATTAAATTTTTTTTTGTTAGAATCAGTTACACCAGTTTTCTTTGATTAAAATTGCGAAAAATTAAGCTTTGAAAATTCTGAAAACAGACAACTGTACAGTTTTAAATTACTTACTGAAAATCATATAATTTTATTGCTTTATTTTTGAAAAAAAAATCTAGATGAAAATCTATATCAAGCTCTATTTCTCCTAATTTAATAAAATTAATTTTCAACCTTTTCAAAAAAGTACAGTGCTTCTTCATCAAAAGTTTTTTAACTGCAAAAAACAAAAACAAGAAAAAAAAATTCAGGAAAACGCCAATCAAAAATTTAACCTAAAACTAAAGAGGGCTTCTTAAATGAAGCAATGATTTAGTCATCCTTGAAAACTTCTCTTCAAAACAATGCCACAATAATAGTTAAACATGAAAAAACAATGTTTTGTTACAAGTTAGGTTCCAACCATCTTCAAAAAATAAACATGTAAAAATGAAGAAAAGCTCGTTGGTTTACTGTTTCCGTCGAGACTCTTTCATTATTAAAATTAACTGGTTCATTGTTGTAACTCGTTCATTGTTAAAATTAACGATATTAATTTATCGTTTTTACCATTTTGTATTCATCATGAATATCGCTTTTTGTTTTACTTCTTCTGTTTTAGGTCTTCTTTTATATAAAAAAGAAATATAAATTTTAAAATTTTGTACTTATAGAGAAGTCTTACGAAAACTTAGAATCCTAGAATCAAATTCGATAATCCCACGAAAGCTTGTCTTACGGTAAAAACAGCTTTTGTCTACACTTTTAAAGAAACACCAGCTTGTACTAAATAGGTTTCATTTATTAGGGATAGGCAAAAACTATCAAAAATTCCTAAAGACTCTAAAGAGAGAAAAGGAAGAAATGATTTTTTATCGATAAAACAGCTTGCACTGAAATCATTAACTGATGGGAGGTAAAATTCAAAAATCTAAAAAATTTGAAATTAGCCTTTTGCGTTTACTAAAGAAACTGAATTTAATTTGTCTTAAAAATTTGAATCTGTGTTGAGTAGAATTTCTGATTCATTCTTTGTAAATACAGTTTCTAATAAGTTGACCCCAATGGGGTCCAATTATTACAAATAAAGTAGTATTTTAGAAATCTCGTTGTATTTTGATCCTATAGTTAATATTTATCATTAGATTTAAATATTTTCTAAAATTGGTACAAGAAAAAAACCTATTAAAACCTATACTTATTACCAATTAAGTATAAAAATATGTTAGTGTTTTAAATTAATTTTATTTTGAAATATTTAAATGATATGAAGCGAAAATTAAT